ACACACACACATATATATATATATATATATATATTGTGTGTGTATGTATGTATATATGTATATTTAAGATCTAATAATATCATTGTTTTAATAACATTGTTTTAATTGTAAATAATTTAAATTATAAAACCGATGTTACAAATTAATGTAATAAATACACAATTTTATTGTGCTATACGGAATAATGTGTATAAATCATGCATTGAAATGTTCGATATATCTGTAACGTAAATCTTGAGTACACACCACGCACGTACATCCGCGGTAGGATTGCTTCGCGGGACGTGGTCGAGGATGGTTCGATTCCTCTCAGTTCACAAATAAAGAAGTCCTCAGTCGGTGAATAAAAACTCTCGGCGTAGATAATCAAATTAAAGTATTTTTAATAATCAATAATACAGTACGAGTCCTCGCTCGACTTGTCGCAACGCACGCACAGTCCTCTCTGATATGCGCGAAAAATCGCAGCTTCTTAACATTCTTTTTTAAAACACGAAAGTCGACGACAAAGGGCGAGCATCGCCGATCCGATCGAAGACGAATGAAACGCAACGATTCGGGAACGCATATTACGCATAGTGAAGGATTCAAGCGCGAAAAAAAACTGTATGGATGTAATGCATATGTAAATATTAAACAATATCTATTTATTTTAATTCTGATAGAACAAAACTATATTATACTCTGATAGAACAACTAAAACTATATTGTACGCTAGAAGTTTTTGATATGTAAACGACGTATAATTTATGGCCGCTTGAAATTAGAAAAGCTATAATGTAACTTGACTACGAGGTAGCAATATTGAAACTTTTTCTCAAAATTCATTTCTTTCTTGCGACGCAATTGGAGTTGTTGCGCGCAGAAAGTTGCCGGCACATAATTGCAATTAAATGGCAGAATGTGACCACGTGTCCGCTCGGGACTCGTACAGCCGTTAACATAACTTCGTTATGAGCCAATGAATCAAATATGTAGTTAAAATGTTCGATTTGATGAATAATTAAGGACAGAGAGAAAGTTTTCAAGCGTACAATCATCACTTTTAGTGCTTCAGAATTCAAACTCATTTAATCATTGTACGCAAATTCCTAAAAAAATTAGTCATTTTGTAATTATCTTTAATAAAAGAATTTAAAATTATTAAAATGTTTATTTTGTTAACTATCAAATATTGAACAATCTATAAAAATTACATAAAAATCAATTTTATAAATCAAATCTGTATCTACAATACATACATACACACACACACAAAACTCTATAGAAAAAAAAAGATATTGGAACATTTAGAATTCAATACACGCGTAATTATCATCATACAATTAAGTCAGAAACGACGAATCGATATCCCAGCAATGATCCCTCGATGGTCATGCAGCTACGGGTAGAAATTCTAACAAGTCTCAGCTGACTACCAATTATAATGTTTAATTAGACATACATAATTATAGACGAGTATACACAGCGTATCACCACTTATCGAGAGTCGAAACGGAACGAGATTTGCCGAGCTGAGAAAATCAAATATTCGCATAGATATAATTGCATAATTTCATTCGCAGGGCATTTAGAGAATTCTTGCGTAATATGAAAACTTTGATCTCTGATTTCTTTGATCCATGCGATTTGTGCAAACGTAGTAATAGTAAATCAACTACATATCTTCTATATGGCTGGCTAAATGGCAAAATCATTTATTATGCAATTACCTTAGTTTTGCCCCGCATGCTATCAAATTATGCATATTTACTCTGATATGAATCACGTGAAAGTTAATTTATAAACACTTTTGCAATATTAAATTACATTAAATGGCTTAGTTACGTTAGGTTACAAAGTACGAGTTAATTAGGTTACAAAATTTAGTTAATGTTCAATATTTAACAAACAAAAGTCTTGTAGGATTTCTTTCTGGTTAAAGATTATTTACGTTTATTTAAAAAATATACTGAATACAATTATA